TAACAAAAAAAAAAATAATATTTAAATGAATATGAAAAATTATATTTATATAAAGTACTATTTGTGATATATTCATTTTAAATGTATAAAATAGAAGATCATTAAAGATATAATACAAAAGATATAAGTTTTTATAAGTAAAATAAATATAAGTTACTTTTATTTTTATTACCTGTGATTTTTTATCTATAATTGCATGTTCAACCATAATTTTACAAATATTTTTTGCATCAAATATAGTCTTTTTTTTTTCAATGTTTACCATCCTTTCTTCCTATATATATAAAAATGTGAAAATAAAAAAAAAAAAATGATATATTTTTTTCTTTTGTAATTTTATTACATTAATTTTTTTTTTTTTTTTTTTTTTTTTTTTATATTACCTTTTTTGATAAATTTATTATCTCATTAATTATATGATTAACATCTACAAAACCAAAAAATCCATCAGTTCCCAAAATTATGAAATTGTCATTTGAATTTATTTGAAACTTTTTAAATGTTCCTGTACATAATAAGCCATATTTCTTTAATCTAAAAAAAAAAAAAAAAATTTTTGAAAAAAAATAAAAATGTAAGACTTAAAATATTTTTCTTTTTCTAATTTTTCAATTTACGATAAATCTCCAAAAGATCTAGTTACATCTATTATATCATTTATTCTTCCATTTTCTATTACACCTCCATTTTTTAATATCCTCTCTTTTTCTGATAATACCCAAGGCTTATGAATATCTACTAGTTCTATAGCTATACAGAAAAATTTAAAAAAAAAAAAAAAAAAAGAATAAAATAAAACAATATAAGATAATCTCTCTTGATATTAAACAATTTTTTTTATAAAATACCTTGATTAGCATTATTTAAATATCTACATAAATATGCAGAAGAGTCTCCTATGTTTATTATATAGGCATAATCATCTTTTATTAAAATGATAACACAAGTTGCACCATCTATAAATACATGAAAAAAGAAAATTAATTTAAATAAATTTCCATTTATATCTATGCTTTTGATTACGATAATTTTTATACATTTTCCTTTATTAAAATTTTTTTTATTTTTATCTATATTATTGATTATGTATTCATTTATATTAATATAATAGTTTAACCTCTGCAATTAGGATACTCAATAGACAAATTTTCATCAACTTTTTTACAAGCATTATTAACACCCTAATTTATGGTAACATAAAAAATTTCTACATAATATTAATAATGTAATATTTTTTTCTTTTTTTAAAAATTTGAGTTAATTAGTATTAAAAATATATATATATTCTCGTAAAAATATATGTTAAATGTTTTACAATTTTTATAAAGTGATCGGGTATAGGAAGAGTATCATCATATGTTTTTTGAATAGAAAAAAAACTATTTGATAATTCTTGAGCCAGATTTTTTTTTAAAAATATTGCAGTATTCTTGCCATTGTGCCCATCAATAAGGCAGAAGCAACTATAAATTAGAAGTAAAAAAAAAAAAAAAAATTATAAAAGTTTAAAAATATATAATATGACATATTAAAAAAAAATAAATTATCTACATTTATATTTTACGAGAAATTAAAATTAGGATGTAGACTTTTATTGAAGTTTTTTAAATTTTCACAAATAAAAAATTCATCTTCGTAAGTTTTTTTTACTCCTTTTTCGCCGTATCCATCACTTATTAAAGTATAATTTTCTAATAAAAATACGTAAATATATAAATATAATAAAAAACACATATATACAAAATTGTTTTCTAATATATGTAAATACTTAAGAATTGCAATCAAAAATTAAGAATTTACACTTTTATATACTATTTAATATAATTATGGTATTATTTATCAATATAAATATATATATATATATACATATATATATATGTGTATATTTTACAATTTTGTAAATAATTCTAATTATTAATTTTATATAAAAAGATAAAATTTATTACTCATAGATATTACATGTGTTCCGTTAACTATTGGCATTTTATTAAAAGAAAACAATTAAAACAATTTAATTTAAATTAAAATTAAATTTTTAATATAAGGAATTCAAAAAAATAAAGAAAAAAAAAAGTTGGGCATATATCTTTAAAAATATACTTCAAAAAATAAATTTTCTATTAAAAATTACACTAAATATAATTTAATAAAAATTAAAAGTATATCATATTTTGTTGGAATCAAAATTAACTGAAACAAAAAAAAAAATTATTCCATATTTATATATACTTTTTTTTTTTTTTTAAAATATATTTATCAATATTTTCAATGATTTTATTTTTTCTTTAAATAAAATCTTTCATTAGTATACTTCTATGTAAATCAAATTAAAAAAAAAAAAGGAAGCAGCATATGTTAAAGTTACGTTTTGCTTGTTTATTATAATATATCTTTACCTTTTTATTTTTTATTAATTTTTTTTATTTATATTTATTTATATAAATATAATTTTGTTTTTTTTAAATTAAAATTAATAATTTTAATGAATTAAACCTTCATTAATACATAGCAATTTTTGTATAAACAAATACATTTATAAAATTAAAACAAAAATAAATAATAGAAATTTAATTTTTCTTTTATTATTAGTCTAATATAAAATATTTTATAATGTGTAATATTACTAATCCATAAAATTACGTAATACAAAAAACAAAAGTATTATATTATTCTTACATATAATAATACTAGTTTTGAAATATCCTAAGTTGTTTTTAGATGTTATAATAAAAAAATGTGTTAATATATGTAAAAATGCTTATCTCATTGAAAAAGTAATACATAATTATTTCTTCTTTCTAGTAAAAAGAAAAAAAAAAAAAAAAAAAGTGTTGTGCTTATCTGACATGCATTAATACATATTTTATTTTTATATATTTACAAAATATAATAAAAAGAAATTAATTTATACTGTATATACGAATATTTAAGGTAAATTTCAAAAAATATGTAATACATATTGAATAAAATATCCAAAAAAAATATCAAATGTAAACAGATTCTTTGTATTTTTAATTTATATTAGCTTAAAAAAAAAAAAAAAAAAATTATTTTATGTAACTAATATATATAATTATTTATGTAATTAAAATAAAACATAATAAGAAATATCATATAACACAAATCCAATTATTAAAAATACTTTGGATATCCTATTAATTTAAAATTAAATAAAATAAAAAAAGCATAATATATATTTACATTTATTATTCATTCAATCTGTATAAATACAAAACTATATATTATTTCTTTTAAACATTAATATTATAAATAAACTTTATTATAGCTCCTATATTTTTATTATTAAAGATTGTTGGTGTTTTTTTTGTTTTTTTATTCATACCATTTAATAAATAAATAAAAATGGTATTTTATTTTTATTTATAAGAACGTTAAATTAAAGAAAGAATATAATTTTAAAAATATAATTCATCATGAATATTTTAATAAATAATACAGACAAGTATTAGGTGTCTTATTTCTTTAGTACTTTACATTTTCTTGAGAGTATCTAATGATATTTACTTTTAAGAAGCATTAATAGTATATATATTTTTTTTTTATATAATTGTTAATGTATTTAAAAAAAAATTTATAAGGATATTTATATCAAGAAAAAATCTAAGCATATTGAGATATTCATGTAAATTAATATTTACTGTTAATAACAAAAAAAAAAAAAAAAAAAAAAAAAAAAAAAAAGCTATAATTAGCTAAAATAGAAAAATTATAATTTTTTGGAAAGAAAGAAAAATAATAAACTATATTTTTTTAAATGAAAACTTTTTTTCATATATTTAGTAAGTGGTATTTTACTTTTTTCCTTTGATACCTTAGTGTGATATAAAATGTTAAGAAAATTTTCCTAATGTTTTTCTTTTTGCTTTTCTTATTACATTTTATATTTTTATAGGCCTATATTTTAAAAAATTTTAAATAATATTTTATACAAAATATCTGTATCAAAATAAAAATTTTGAATAAATAACTATTCTATTACATAATTTTTTTAACATATATATTATTTTAATTTTTAATAATTTTCATCATAATTTTGCTATGTGTTTTAATTATCAACTTCGATCTTAATTTTTTTTTTTTTTTTTTAAATGTATATTCAATTAAATTTAATTCGATATTATCTATTTTTCACATAGTGTAAATAAAAAAATTTAAATATATTTATTTTCTGGAAAAAATATAGACAGATAAGTTTTATTTTTTTAAAAAATATTGTTTTTTTTCTAATTTATTTCTACATTACGTTGATCTAAGAAAGCCTTCTTTTCACCCTTCTTTTTTTTATGACTTTCTTTTTTTTTTTTTTTTTTTTTAATTTGGATTTATTATTTTTTTTTTTTTTTTTTTACTAACATAAAATTATTCAAAAAAATGTGAAAAGTGCTTTTTTAAATAAAAAAAACTTTTTAATAGTATAAAACATAAAAACCATAAAGTATATAAAAATATATATATATTTTTTTTTTTGCATTAATGGAATAATGAATATGCAATTTTTATAGTATTTTATCAACTTGTAATTTGTTCGTTTTTGGTAAATAAAAAAATATATCTAAGAATTAATAAAAACATATTACATAAAATTTTTTTTCTTTTTTGATATAAATAATTTCATCTTATGTTTAAAATAAACTTTTATTTACAATAAATCTAGATAAAAATTAAAATAATATTTATACGAACAATTATATTTATTTCATATATAAATATTTTTTTATTTGTATGTTTATATGTATGAATGTATGCAATATCAAGTTTTTGTCATAATTTAATAAATAGCAATTGATTTTTTATAATTTTTTTTTTCCAGTTAACCATTTAAGAAAAAAATAATTTATGTATGTATATTTATTTATAATAAATATATTTTTTATTACATTTTTACAATAAAAAACGTTCTATATATATCTCTTTTTTTTATTTTAAAATTTTTATAATTTTATGGTAGATATAATTTACCCATTTATTTTATTTTACATTTTTATTTATTTATTTATTTTTTTTTTTTTTTTTTTACCTACTTTTTTATATCAATTCTCATTTTTTAAATATTTATTTTTTACTTTGGTTAATTAAATCTTAATTATGTATATTTTTACTATTTTTTGAATATGTTATTATGAAAAATATATATTTGAATAAAAACTTCAAAAAATAGTTATTTTTTTTCACATTTTATTTCATACATTCTTAGTTAAATAAAAAATTATATATAATATATATAAATACCATTTGCATTTTGTTTTATAATATTCATTTTTATTTATATTAAACATAATAATGTATTTGTAAATTTATTATTAAAAGCTTTATATCATTTTTATATTTTTGTTAAGCATATTTTTCTTTCATTTTTTTTTGAAAAACTATTTGTGCATAATTATATATTATACGTAACTTTTTTAAAATCTCTCATTTATTTTTTGGACATTTATGTTTATATATAGTTTTTTAATTATGTTCAGTGAGCATGTTTTAAATAATACATTAACTTTGTTTTTTTTACGCATACAACTTTTTTTTTTCAATTTATTTTTAAATGTTGCATCAATTTTTCATAATTTCCTTATAAACTTATGTAAAATAAAATTTCTTAAAAATATAAAAAAATATCAAATATTTTCTAGAGAAAAAAAGAAAAAAAAAATTGTTTTTGGAAAATTGAAACAACATAATTTTAAAAATAATTGATAATCCTATAATACTTTGCATAAAGAAAAACAAATACAAGATACAGAAAAAAAAAAAATTTAAGAAATATAAATTTAAGAAATATAAATTTAAGAAAAATAAATTTAAGAAACTGTAAGAAAAATTAAACTTTGGTAAATGTAAATAAAAAAAAAAAAAAAAAATAAAATAAAATAAAATAAAATAAAATAAAATAAAATAAAATAAAAATACAAAATATAGGAAAACCCATACATTAATAAAACTTAATTGTACGGAAAAAGTATTATAACATATATAATTTAAAAAAAAAAAAAAAAAAAATACAAAAAAAAATTATAAATATGAATTACAATAATAATAATATAAATACTAATCTTAATAAAAATGAAGATCAAAGAAATAATTATTTAAGGAATAATTATATACCTAACATAAACGATGCTTCATATAGAGATAACATTAAAATTGACGAAAATTCGAGTGCGAATGTTTTTACACAAATGAGAAGTAAAAGAGATCCAGATAGCAATATAACTACAACTAATAGAGAATATTATGAAAATAATATAAATAAAAATAGTTATATAAATGATAATATAAGAAATATGGATAATAATAAGAACTACATAAATTATATAGACAAAAATAATATTGGTTCTCCAGAAAATTATAAAAATAAGTATACCAGTAGTTATTATGAAAAACAGAATAACGAAAATAATTTTATTCATCAACAAAAAAAAGGAGGAAATTTTATGAGTAATATAAATAAAAATAAATATGAAAATGGCATAGTACCAAATAACCAAAGAAATAATAACAATAATAACAGCCAGGAAAAACCAAGATATAAACCCCCAATGTTAAGAAATCAAAATATGTATAATAGAAATAATATGAATAGGATGAATTATAATAAAGGTGCTAATCCAATTTACAATAGAAATTATAATATTCCGAAAACAGCTTGGGCAAATAGAGATAATAGAAGGTATTATGCTGAGAAGGAGGAAGAAATTTTCTCAAATGTAAGAAGTGAAAAAGGAGTAAACTTTGAATTATATAATAGTATACCAATAGAACTAAGTGGACATAGTAGTGAAAATATATTACCAATAGAAAAATTTGATGATCCAGCTCTTAATTTAAGCGATTTACTATTATCCAATATAAAAAAAGTAAATTATGATAAAACAACACCAATTCAGAAATATAGTTTAAGTATAATTATGAATAAAAATGATTTAATTGGTGTTGCTCAAACTGGTAGTGGTAAAACTGCAGGATATCTATTACCTATTATTAATCATATGTTATTAAATGATCCACCTAAACACACTTTTTATGATGATAATAATAATAATAATTCTAATTATTATTTCAATAAGGTATGCTTACCTATTTGTTTAATTCTTGCACCTACAAGGGAATTAGCAGTTCAAATATTTTATGATGCAAAAAAATTTTGTTATGAAACAGGGATAAGACCAGTTGTTTTATATGGTGGAAATAATATAAAAACGCAATTGTCCAATCTAGATAAAGGTGCTGATATAATAGTTGCTACTCCTGGAAGATTAAATGATATTTTAGAAAAGAAGAAAATAAGATTATTCTTAACATCTTTTTTAGTACTTGATGAAGCAGATAGAATGCTTGATATGGGTTTTTCTCCACAAATAAGAAGTATAATAAACGATTATGATATGCCAGGTAATGATAATGACGCAGATACTAATGAAAATAGATTAGAATATAAGAAATATTGCAATGAAGTTATAAAAAGACAGACTATTATGTTTAGTGCAACATTTAGAAAAGAAATTCAGGTATTAGCAAAAGAATATTTATGTAATTACACCTATTTATTAGTAGGTAAAGTAGGTAGTACTCATGAATATATTAAACAAAACTTAGTATATGTAGAAGAAGAAAATAAATGTAATTATTTAATAAATATATTATCTGAAAATAATAACGGACTAACAATTATATTTGTTGAAACGAAAAGAAAAGCGGATATTATTGAGAGATATCTAAATAATAAAAAATTAAATGCTGTTTGTATTCATGGAGATAAAAGTCAAGATGAGAGAGAGAGAGCTTTGAAATTGTTTAAAAGAGGAATTAAAAATATTTTAGTTGCAACAGATGTAGCAGCGAGAGGATTAGATATATCTAACATTAAACATGTAATTAATTTCGATTTGCCAAGTAACATTGATGATTATATTCATAGGATTGGTAGAACAGGAAGAGCAGGAAATATCGGTATAGCAACTTCATTTGTAAATGATGATAATAAAAATATTTTTAAGGATTTGTTAGCAACATTAGAAGAATGCAATCAATTCATACCTCACTGGTTTTTTAATTTAGTTATGAGATATACTGCTAGTGCAAGAGCTAATAGGAATTATAAATATAAATCAATTAAGAATAAAAATAATTATTCTAGATATACAAATAATAATAATACTATGGCTAATAAAAATATGAATAGCAACCCATTTAATAATAACAATGCATATAATAATTCTGCTTACAATAACAATGGATATAATAATGGTGGAGGTTTTTCAAGTAACCCATATAACAATTTGTATGCTAATAATTATAATAATAATCCTTATAACAACTCTAGTAATAATAATAACTTATTTAATAATAATAAATATAACAATAATTACAACCAAAAAAAATTTGAAGAACCCACATTTCATAGAAATAATTATCATAATACTGATGATAATAATGATGAATGGTAATTGAAATGAATATTTTTTTATTTTTGTACATCTGAGAAGAATTTAAGAATTTTATTTTAATATATATTATATATTTTTAATGATATTCTTTTCTAGAAAAAAAAAAAAATAAAATAATACACAAAATGTATTATTTTATATTTACTATTTAAAAAATACATTTAAAATATTATTTTTGTGTAAATTTTATATTTATATGTGTATTATTTTTATTCATGATATCCATAAAATATTTCATTTTTCATTTTTTTTTTTTTTTTTTTTTTTTTTTTTTTCTATAACAATTTTATCATTATATTAAATATTAATATAAATATATATATATATATATATATATATATATATATATATACTTAAATTTGAAGAAATTGTTTTTATGTTAGATATTTTAATTTTATTATGTTACTTCTCAAAACAATTTGTACAAAAGAAATTTTTTATTATGTATATGCATAAAAATATATTATTTCGATTTTTGCTATATATATACATATATATATAAATTTTAATTATTGAAATCATTGTGTAAAAAAAAAAAAAAAATAAAATAAAATAATTAAAAAAATGTCACTTACATGAGTAAAAAAAAAAAAAAAAAAGAAAAAAAAAAAGAATTAACCTAAATAATTAAAATAATAATTGTATTATATGTATTTTAAATTCTTATATTAAACTTTAAACATAAGAATATTAAATTTCATAAAGAAAAGACAATCTTTTTATACAATTTTTTTTTTATTAATTATCATTATTCAAAAGATTGTGGTATGAACTATATTTATATATAAAATAATTAAATTTTATCGATTTGTTATTATTATTATTATTACATTTTTTTTTTTTTTTTTTCTTGCGAAATTAATTGTGAAAATGAAAATATACACAATCATGAGATTGCGTTTTTTCATTTTAAAATGCCAATAAAGGTGGAAGATTAAAAATGTATTAAAATTAATTCAAAAATAAACAAATCATTATGTTATTTTTAAAATAATAATTTATTTTATCGTTTATAAAATAAGGATTTTTAATAAAAAAAAAAAAAAAATAAATAATTTCTTGATACTAATAAATATAGGTAAGTACTTTTAATGTAATTATTAAGAGAAATCTTTAAAATACTTTATTTTTCAAATATATATAATCATCTGGTTCTTCTTTTTTATATCTAAAAAACATAATTAAAAAATTCAAAAATATATAAGAAATTAAAATAAATAATATATATTTTTCTTTTAGTGATTACATTTCATCTACATAAATACATATTCCTTCTTCGTTAATCTTTTTTAAGTTTAGTTGAATTAATTTACTAATAGTATTACGGCTTAGATACAATGTATGAAGATATAAAAAAGAACAAGATGCTATGAAAAAAAGAAAAAAAATTATATTTATAAATATATAAAAACAAGAATATTCAATGTTTATTTTTTTAGTATTTAAATTACTTATTACACCAAGAAATGAAGGTAGGAAAGGTCTGAAAAATAAAATTTGGGAAAAAAAATACAAAGTGTAAATTTTTATAAAATATGTAATAATAATATCATAATAAAAAACAACATATTATATAATAGATAAATATAGAAAACTAACCTAAAAGCAAAAAATTTAAATCGTTTTAACTTATAGAAAGATGTTTGGATACCTATTAAAAAAAAAAAACGATAAATTCATGTAAACAAAATTGATGTAATCAACGAACAAAATTTTGTTTTCACTATTAGATTACCTAATGCCGTTAAAAAGGCTAATGTATGAGAAATATACTTATTTTCATTTATAACTTCTAATTCTTCATTATTTATCTTTTCTTTACTAAAATTCGCATGTTCATACAAAATAATATTAATTTTTAAAATCAATTTTATTTTTACTTTAAACTTTATAAATTTTTAATAATTGTATGTTATTTTTTTTTTATTATTTTTTTCTTTTTCTTATTTTTACTTGGTATGTACAAAATTATTTACTTTTCGTATAGTTTTATAGCAAGACAAAGTTTTATATATGTCATGAAATAGTTCAAACATTTTTCTTAAAAAGTAAACTAATGATAAAATTCTAACTTTTTTTTTTTTTTTTTTTTTCTATCTATATATTTATATATATGTATTTACAAAAGTATAGAAAATATTCTCTTATATAAAAATAAAAGGTAATATTTAATTCAAAAAAAAAAAAAAAAAAAAAAAAAAAAATTCTAATAAAAATTAAAAAAATCTTTTTGAAACACTAATTATATATGAAATAATACAATAATTAATTTTTAACAATTCAATGTCATTAAATTCATATATATTAATCTTCGTGTTTGTTTTATAAACTAAGTTTTTATGTTTTTATAAAAATATATAGAAAAGTGCTTATATATTTAAAATTATCTCAATTTAAAAAAAAAAAAAAAAAAAAATAAATATAAAGCATTTATAAGAAATATGACTAATTCTGTGAATAGTAATAAAAGGAATATAGCTGTTTTAAATTTCGGAACAAATGATAAAGATAACTCTATTGTCATTTTGGAGACAGCATTATATCTAGTTGAAAAATATGTTGGTAAGAACAGAAAAAGTAATGAAGTTTTTAATTTTGAATGAAAAATAGAAATATTAAAAAGATGTATACTATTGTGAATAATTTTATTTTTTTATTAAATATAATTACATTAATTATTTTAATAACTTGACATATTATTCATTAAATCTATATATATATGCACTTTTTTTTTTTTATGGGGAATTTATTATAAAAGGGAATGTTATTAATACTTCGTACATCTATGAAACAATGCCTGAATACCTAATACTAGATGAAACAGAAATAACAGAAAATATAACTGATGAAACTTGTGAAAATTATGAAAAGAAGGATATTAGTTGGTTAAATGAAATGATTAAAACATTAGAATCCTCTAGGTATGAAGAGAATAATGATTTAATTCACGAATGTTACGAATTTGAGAAATTTTTGAAGAATGAAAATTTAAATGAGAGTATCATAAATGAAGTAAGTGTAGATGATTATGAAATGGAATCTAAAAATTTAATAAAAAAAAATGATGAAACTTTTAAAAAAAATTTAGAAAAACATGAGAGGAAATATTATACTAAATATTTTTATAATATAATAGTTGTGGTTAGAAGTTTTGTTGAGGATCCTTTGAGTATGCTTATAATTTTAAAATATATTGAACGGTTAATGGGAAGACAAAGCATAAAGAACAGATTAAAATTTGAAAATCGCTTAATAGATATAGATATTTTATTTTTTAATAGCTACACTATTTTTAAAAAAAAGATAGAATTGGACAAACAATATGTATATAAAGTAATTTCAAAATATATTAATATTGAAAATTGTAGCAACAAAAATTTTGAAATACTTGAAACATTAAAAGATGAAATTGAATTTTTATCTATTCCTCATATGTATACAAAATACAGATATAGTATATTATTATGTTTAAATGATATTATTCCTCAGTATAAGCATAAGGTATTAAAAGAAAAAATCAGCATATTATATAACAATTATGTTAAAAATTTTGAAAACATTCATAAAATAAATATTAAAAAGAATAACAAGAGAATATATGTACTAAAAGATAAACCGTTATATTTAAAAGAAAAAACACAAATTGTGGGAGTATTAAATGTAAACTATGATTCCTTTTCCGATGGTGGATTATTTGTAGATCCTTCAAAAGCAGTAGAAAGAATTTTTGAAATGATAAATGAAGGAGCAGATATAATTGATATTGGTGGAGAATCATCTTCTCCCTTTGTTGTTCCTAACCCAAAAATTAGTGAAAGAGATTTAGTTATACCAGTTTTAAAATTATTTCATCAAGAATGGAATAAACTTGAAAGTGAGTTAGAAAAAAATATCATAAAACCTATTATAAGTATTGACACAGTACATTATAACATTTTTAAAGAATGTGTTGATGAAAATTTTGTTGATATTTTAAATGATATAAGTGCTTGTACAAATAATCCAGAAATTATAAAATTATTAAAAAAAAAAAGTAAATATTTAAGTGTTGTTTTAATGCATAAAAGAGGAAACCCACATACGATGGACAAATTAACAGATTATAATGATATCGTTTATGATATTAAAAATTATTTAGAGGATCGATTAAATTTTCTTGTTTTGAATGGAATACCACGTTATAGAATTATTTTAGATATAGGATTAGGTTTTGCAAAAAAACACGATCAATCAATTAAGTTATTAAAAGATATTCATGTTTATGATGATTATCCTCTTCTTATTGGGTATTCAAGAAAAAGATTTATTACATATTGTATGGAAGAAAATAATTTAACTGATAGGAAAAAAAAAATGCTTGAAGAAGAAAAAAGCGAGAATGAAAATAAAACAAAAGAGTGGGAATTTAAAATGAATAATATGAGGAAAGATAAAGATCAGTTATTATATCAAAAAAATATATGCGGTAATCTTGTAAAAAAAAAAAAATACTTCATCTTTTAAATCATTTTTAAGTTATTAATTTTTACTTATTAAAACTATTTGTGAACATACGTATATTTACGTGTTTATACTTTTATATGTGTATTTTTTTTTTTTTTTTATTTTTACATAGGTGGATTAGCTATTGCCTCATATTTATTTTATAAAAAAGTTGATTTAATAAGAGTTCATGATATTTTAGAAACCAAAGCTGTTTTAGATGTATTAACAAAAATACATAAATCATAATAATATTTTGAAGGAAATAAATATTAATCTTATTTTTACTTTTTTATGAGTATTATTTAAACAGTAAATTTGTTATATTATAAAAGTTTCTTTCTAACATACTTTTTTTTTTAATTCTATTTATTAATCAAGTAAGTTGTATATATATATATATATATGTATTACTTATAAAGAAAATAAATTACATAGAAAAAATATATATATTTTTAAAATAATATTCAACTTTATATTTCTTTATTTTTTGTTTCTTTAATAAAAATTTTAAATATTATAAACTAACAACTTCAAGAGAATTTTTAATATTTCATTTTAATTAACATTTTCTTATATATACAAAAACATTGAATTTCTCTTTATAGTAAATATATCTAATTATAATAAATGAAAAAATAAACCTTGTTGTTCATTTTTATATATATGCATTTTTAATTTTTATATTTAAAGAAGGGAAGAAACATTTATTTTAAAATAAAAATAAATAAAAATATTTAATTTTTTCTATACAAATAATTGTTACTTTTTTTTTTTCTATTTTATAGTCAGTTTTTTTTGTCTCCAATACGTTTAGCCTATTTATCTTTTTTTATTGTTTTAGTTTATCTTAATTCATTTCATTTTTATTAATCCTTTATTTATTATTATAATATCTTTTTTTTTTTTTTTTTTTTCCCCTTGTTCAATAACTTATTTTTTTTAATCTTTTACTTCATATTTATTTTGTTCTTCATCATTATCATCATCAATGTCTTCATCATCATCATCTTCATCATCAATGTCTTCTTCATCATCATCTTCTTCATCATTATCATCATCATCATTATCATCATCATCATTATCATTATTATGTTCATTTTCATAGTCCTCTTCATTGTTTTCTTCTGTTGATCTTTTATTTAAAATATTTCTTTTTTTTGATTTTTTTTTTTTTTTACACACACTTGATTTAAGAGAAAGGTGCTTATGTGATGACGCGTAACATTCTCTTGATTCGTAGACTATTATAGGAAATGATCCATATGTATTTTCACCACTAAAATTAATTGAATAAATATTATTTAGAAAGGATATAAATTTTCTCATTGAAAAAAAACTCATTATTTTTGGCTTATTCTTATTAAAGGTATTGCAATCAATAACAACTATATCATATGTATCATCACAATTAAATATGTAAATCCCATAAGAATATTTTATTTTTATAATAATATATAATTTAAAATAAAATTTCTCGTTATTTTTTTTACTTCCATTAGTTTTCACCTCCTTATTCCTATTACATTCAATAAAATTCGTATTTTCAATTATGTTTACTAATTCATTTAAAGATTCTTTAAAGTTACTAGTTTCTATATTTTTTATTTCTTTTAAAAATTTGAAATCTCCTCTTTGGCCATAATACTCTTTTTTAAAATCTTTTTTGGAATATAAACATTCTAATATAATAGATAGAAGTAAATCTTTATCCCTTGATTCAGATCTATACATCTTCAAAAAAAAATGAAAAATGCAAAATTCCACTTCTTCATTATTTAATTCTACCTCTAATTCATGAATGCATTCACACCAATCTGCCTAGAAAAATAAAAATGTATTATATATATATGTAATTTTTTTAAACAAGATTTTTAAATTTATATAAAATGCTTTGTAAAAATAGATAAATAAAAGTATCTTTTTCTTATTTATATTACATGAGGATTAAAATATTTTGAATCTAGAGGAACTTCTGTAATTAAATCTCCATTTTTTTTAAGTATTTTATCAAATACACTAAATTCACATATATTTTTTCTATTTTTATTGTAATCTTCTATATAATTTTTTTTTAATGTAATATTTTTCCTTTTATTTTTTTTATCTAATTCATCAAAAAAATTTAAGCAACAGCATTCAAGTTGCTTATAAATATAAGTTAAAAAATTTCCATTATATATTTGTGTATCTTCCTTTTTTATCTCATCTAAGTTATTTTCTTCATCTATATCAAAGAAATCATTAAGAGGGCAAGCTGATGTTTCAGACATTATCCTTTATAAAAGAATTTTATAAATATATAAAAATAAATAGAATAATTCTTTAAATGTCTTAAATATAAAAAAAATTCCATTTCAAATAGTCATTATCATGCTTATTTTATAGAATTTTATTCTTTATTATTTTCTATTTTTTGATAAATTTATTTTATAATTGACACCTTTCTTTATATCTTCATTATATTTAACTATTTTGTTTATTTTTTTTTTTTTTTTTTATTTCTTTATTATATATGTGTTTTGAAAATAAAGTTAAAATTAGCAATTTTTGAAATATGGAGAAATTAAAAATAATATTCAATTGTATAAATTTAATAGCATTGAACAGCAAATAATTTCTGTATAAAATATATAAATGTATATTTTTAGTAATTCTATTTTTATTTTAAATTAATTTTTATATATACATTTTTCTTAAGGAAATGTTCATTTCTTTGATCTCAATTTTTATATAACATCTTTTTCGTCTATATTAATAATAAACAAAAAAAAAAAAAAAAAATAATGTTTTGATATATATAGTGTGCAAAAAAAAAAAATTTATATATATATATATATGCATATTTTATTTCAATAAAAGTATAAGAAAACAAATTTCATTTCTTCTAAAAGAATAATAGCTATTTGACATTTAGATAATTTTTTCAAATTGGATGAATTTTTTTTTTTTTTTTTGAAGTATTACAAAATCTCTTAAAATTTTGAAACAACTTACCCCTTTAGAATAATGCACATGTTATAAATAAAAATAAATAAATAAATAAATATATATAAATATATATATATATCTTATTTCTATTTATTAATTTCACAAGTTTTTTTGTGCATTATTAATAAAAATTGTATGATGATAAGAAATATAGAACTTCATGACATTATTGTAATTTTTCAGAAATATTACGAGTTCATAAAATGTAACAATTTCAACAGAATATAAAAAAAATGAACTTATTTCTTATTTATTTAAGTGAATATATTAGTACGTTTTTGTTCTAAAAATAAAAAAATAATTTAAAAAAAAAAATAAAAGTTTCATATTGAAACAAATAAACAAAATTAAAAGGTGGAGAAAACATAAATATTTCTTAAAAAAAAAGAAAACATTTTTTTTATTAAAATTTATTTTCATTAAGAAATATTTTCAAAATAGTAAAATAGATTAAAAAAAGTAAATATCATACTTAGTGATACACAAACTTTATAAAAATTAAAACATTTTGGTTATATTCTCACAGGAGATTATTAATAAAGTAAATATTAAATTTAAAAACAATTCAAAATAAAAATTATAAATATGTAAAATTGCAACAAAGATCTTATAAAAGTATTAAATTCATTTAAATTACAATAAAGTAATTAATGTTACAGCAAAATTAAAAAGTTTTCTCGTTAAACTTATATCTTTTAAATAATAATTTTATAATAATTAAAATAACTTTCTTTTTTCCAAATAGACTTGTAAGAATATTTTATCAACAGAAAGCAAAAAAAATTTTTTTTTTTGGAATTATCAAATAGACATAAAATTATAAATTTATATATATATATATATATATATATATATATATATATATATATATATATATATAACTAAAGAAAAAAAAAGCATATAAGCGAATACATTAAATTTATTTATATTATTTTACAATAAAAACTTATTAATATAGTTTAAAAAGTTATAAATATAAAATTAATTAAATTAATTTTTGTTTTACTAAAAACACTCCTATAAAATATTTTATATTATTTTTTTCTTTTTATTATTTCAAGGTTAGATAAATATAGAATCTTTGTATATTTAGTTGAGGTCATATTTAACAGTGGATTTAAATATATATAATGATATTATTTAATACGTATAAATAATGGAGAATAGGGAAGTTTTTTATAATATATTTTTAAATATAATAAAATAATTGTAATAAATATATAGAAATATTTTATTTCATTGAATAATTACAATATTTATATTTACAAATAAAAGAGAAATTCTTATCATGTCTATGATTTTAATTAATAATTTTTTTTGTAATTTTGATGTTGTAGTTGTTAGTTTAAAAATATAAATATATAATTTTCATAAGTTACTGGAATAAAATAATATTGGAAATTAATCATAAGTTATTTTAAAATTAACTTAAAAAAATATAGATATATATATCATTATTCAAACTAATGCATAAAAGGTACTTTAACGACAACAAGAGTTACATAATATATATACATTTTTCATTAACTATTTATGTTAAAAAAAAAAGTAAATATAATTAAAAAAAAAGTGTTGAATAACATAAATATTTTTTATTTAAGAAAATAAGTTTTAAATATACTTTTTCATAATCATTAAATATTTATTAAATAGAAACCTTAAAGTAATAAAAAAGGATTAATAAATTTTTAATATAACGAATAATAATTAACATATTTTTTGTATTTTTTTTTTTTTTTTTTATATATTTTTATTTAATCTTATTAATTATAAAATTTTATTCTTGTATCCAGAAAAAAAAAAAAATGAGTAATAATCCCACTGGATAAAATTAATTTTCATCTTAGAACTGAAAGCGAAGCATATAAGATTTAACATTATCCCTAACGTAAAAAATATAAATTTATTATATTCTGTTTTTTATTTTTATAAAATAAATGGTTATTTATATAGATATGTATATTTAATTTTATATATTAATTCTTTATTAGTTTTTATTGCACTTACAAAATTAAAAAAAAATTCTCAAGTTTTTTCTTCATTGTAGTAGTGAAATTTTTTTTGTTTTTTCTTATAGATGTTGAAAGAATAAACACAAAAAAATATTTCCTAAAGATTATAAATTCATTAATTTATTCATAAAATATATAAAAATTAAAATAATTATATATATTTATATAAAAAAAATATATATTAAAAGGAAAAAATAATAGAAAAAAACTGTTACATAAATTATCTAAAATGATAATAAACTTAAATATATTTGCACATTTACCAAGTTTCTTGAAAAAGGAAAAAAAAAAAAATAAAGATATTACCGTTATATATTCTTCAAAAAATACTAAAAAATATAGAGACAAAAACGTTTTTACAAACTCAAAACAGAATTAATAACATAAACATTATTTTTTTTAAAAATTTTCTTTCTCATTAGATATTTCCATCAATATATATATAATTACACAAAACATCAATACAATTATAAAGAAAAACTTCTATTAAGATTCTAAATAATTTTATTTTATAGTATTCTTTATGAACATTAAAGTAATAAAACATAATAGTTTTACAATAATATTGAGTTTATTTAAATTTAACGAAAATAAATTAATAATTTCTTTTCTTTTTTTTTATTGAGTCTAATAGAATATAAATTAGAAAAAATGTGTTGAGTTTATAAATAAAAGTTATGATAAGAAAAAAAAATGTATACAATTGTAATAAGCCCTACATATGAATATATTGGTATAAAATTAATTAATACCTTTTGAAATATCTTTCATTAATTTTTTTTTTAAACATAACAAAAATATATAAAATAATAATTGACATAAGCAGAATTAATGAAAATTAAAATATTTTTTTTAGCAGCAAAAAAAATATAGAAAATTTTACATTTACAAAAAACAAGAGATCACTATTGCATTTTAAAATAAACCTTAAATTTCACCTATATAAATATTATTTAAAGAACGATATATTTTTAAATATATGCAAAATATATTTGTGTTCTATTAATTAAAACCAAAAATACTATATTTTATAATTTAGTTGAGACCCTATGCTATTTACTTTAATTTAAAAAAGAAGAAAGTGAATTATATATTTTGAAGTCATTTTTACATTTTTATTTCTATTAAGAGTTGGGAATTGATTTAATTATAATTATATACTTAAATACAAGTTATTTTTCTTTTTTTATTATATCTATCTTGCGAAAAAGGAATTTATATAATTCATGTACGCACAAAAATTAAAAAAAAATTTGAGGATAATATCGTTTGTGCAAAAAAATTATTTTAATAAATCATAATAAGAAAATTTTTTACTTTAATAATCATAGTTAAATAAAAATAAAAGTTATTTATGATTTTTTCTTTTTTTTTTTTTTTTTTTTTTTATATATATATTATTAGAATATTAGATAATCTCCTAAAAAATTAAAATATAACAAAAAGTTAAAGCTAATTTTTGTTATATATTTTCTATTGTATGTCTTCTTATATCTTTGTATAACTCATAGTATTTTATAACATATTCATATAATTTTTATTAAAAGATAAAAATGTATATAGTATATTTTTTATAAAGCAAAAACAATATTATTATTTTATTCCTCATTTTTTTTTTAAATTCTTCTATTTTAAATAATATAATTTTCTTTTCTTTTACTTGCCTCAATTATTTTATAGTAAAATTGTGTGCATATATTTAAAAATAAAATAAAAATTTTATGATGTTTTTTGCATAAATATACATCTTAAAAACTTTAACAATTAAAACTTTTGAATTTTATTAGCTTTTTTATTCATGCTTATTTTTTTATGATAATTATTTCAATATATTTTATTAATTATAACTTAATGTTAAATCCTTTATTTTGATAAATATAAAAAATTTCATAATATTTTTTAATATGTATTATTATGAAATTATGACATATATTATTTATATATAATAAAATTAGTTTAATTATCTTAAATATATATATATATATATATATTTATATATATATATATATATATACATATATATATGTGTAAAGTGCACTTTAAATATGCATAGATATATAAAAAAAAATTAACTTCATATATGAAAAATGGATATAGCAAATATAAATTTTGAGAATGGATGGAAAATAATAAAAGAAGAAGCAATTGAAAAAATAGAAAAATATTTAGAAAATGATAATATTGAAAAAAATAAAAATTTATTTAGTGCAACCGAATATACTAGATTATATACAGTTGTATATAATATGTGTGCAAAAAAAAATCCTTTTTGCTACTCTAAAGAAGTATATAGAAAATATGGAGAAAGTTTATCCTTATATGCTGTTAATAAAATTAAACCTTTGTTAAAAAACGAAAACAATTTAATAAAAACAAAAATTCTAATAAATGCTTGGATTAAATATTCTTTTTATACAAATTGGATGAATAAATTTTTACGATATCTTGATCGTTATTATGTGGAATATAATAGTTCATTATGCCTAAGCGCCTATACAAAAAATATTTTCAAAATTACATTGTTTAATGATTTAAGAGACGGAATTAAAGATATCGTTTACGAAATTTATGATAATTTAAGAATGGATGAAAAAAAGGATGAAAAAAAACTATTTTGTGATTTAGTTCATTTATATAAAGAGTTAGATAAGGAAAGCAATGAAAAGATGTATGAACATGATATAGAGAAAAAAGTTATGGAAAATGTAGATAATTATTATAAAAAAGAAGGAGATAGTTGGGTAAATACATTAAGTTTTGATGATTATATTATATCAATTGAAAATTCTGTTGAAAAAGAATATGATAAAAATAAATCATTAAATTTAAATGAAGAAACTTGTGAAAAAATTACTAATATTATAGTGAAACTTTTAATATTTGATAAATTAGATATATTATTGAAAAGTAAACAAAATATATATGATTTATTAAAAAATAATAATTTACGATGTCTTAGAAGAACATATCTTTTATTTTCATATTTTCCTCAAGCTATTGAAGGATTGAAAAAAATTATAGGAGAATATGTTAAAGCAGAAGGTAACAATTTAAAAGAAAAATATATTAAGATTTCAAAAAATTTTAGTTACCAAAAAAATAATGAAAACGAAGGAAATTTTCTTTATGAATCTAATACCAATAGCAATATTACAGAACAAAAAGACGAAAATGTCTTATGTGAATATATAGATGAATTGATAAAATTGCATAATCATTATGATAATGTTTTTAAGTTATCCTTTTTTAATATATCAAATAATACAATAGATCAGAATTTTAAAGAATGTTTAAAAGATTATTTCGAAAGCTTTGTTGAATATGAGGATGAGAATTTTAGCACTGTAAAGCTGTTAGTTTTATATTCAGATAATGTATTAAAAAAGGATGTAAACTTAAAAGATAATGATAATTTTAAAATTGATTCAAATGATGAAAATAAAGAGAATAAAATTCGAAATGAAATTATTATTGAAAATCATTGTAGTGACAAAGATAATAAGGAAGAAAACACAATTCTGATGAAAAAAATGTCTGATATTGTAGAAATATTTAATTATACAAGTAATAAGGAAACTTTTTTTGAATATTATAGGGTTTATTTAGCAAACAGATTAATTAATAATATATATATCTCATTAGATATTGAAAAAAAATTTATTGAAAATTTATATTACTTGTGTGGTTCACAATATACTTCAAAGTTAGGTGGTATGATTCAGGATATGATAAATAACAGAAATATGAATAAAAAATTTTATGATTATGTTGATAAAAAATATTCTATGAATTTAAATGAGTTAAATACAAATGATTTACAAGATTTTTTTTCTGTAAAAATATTAAATAAAGGATATTGGCCTACTTTAGAAAAAACATCCATAAAATTAAATAATGACTTTAATAAATATATTGAATTATTTGAAGAATATTATAAATCTGACCATAAAAACAGAAAACTAGAATGGATATATGATTTAAGTGAAGTAATATTGGAATATTTTTTTAATAACACTATGTATTATTTATATTGTAACGTTGTAAATGCCCAAATTCTTTTATTATTTAACAAGTATACATTTATAAATTTTAACATTGTAAAAAGAGAATTGAATTTAGATTTGAAATCTTTTACAAATAACATGTATTCATGTTTTTACAACTTTAAAATTATATCTACCAATGACAATGTAGTTAATTGGAGTTCATCTGATTTTTATATAAATAAAGACTTTTCTTATCATCATAAAAAGGTGTTTATAAAAAAAACAACTACATTATTATCAAAAGAACATGAAAAAACTAAAGAAGATAGAACAATGGCAATAGAAGCAGCAATTGTTCGTGTAATGAAAGTTCACAAGAAACTTTTTTACGATCAAATTTTCGATTATGTAAAAAGATCATTATCTAGTTTTTCTCCTACCAATCAAGTAATATAAAAGTTTATATATATATATATATATATATATATATATATATATAGTAAATATTTATATAAAAAATATTTTATTTAAAAAATTGTTTTTTCTTTTTTTTCTAAAAATATAAAAGCAACATTTTATGTATAGATGTTTGATTTTATAAATTCAATTGTAATACATATATTTTTTTCATTTTTATACATTTCATTTTTAATTATAATCTTACTATTTATATTAATGTTTGATTTTCTATTTTAGATTATTGAAAAGAAGATAGACTTATTGGTTGAAAGAGAATACATTCAAAAAGAAGAAAACAGTCAGGTTTATTTATATATACCATAGAATATTAAAAAAAAAAAAAAAAAAAAAAGTGAGTTAATAAATCAATCATTACTTGGCATAACAAATGAACTATGTTAAAGTAAATTTATAAAATTTCATAACATCTTTAAAATAGTAAATTGAAGAAAAAAGTAATTTTCTTACATTCCTTTTTTATTAAAATTTATAGAATGTTGTATATTTTTGTTTAATATACTTATATATGTGTATAGGTTAATCTTTATAAGAAAATTATGAATCTTAAGTTTTATGGTATATTTTTACTTAATTTTTTTTTTTTTTTATATTTTGATATACATAAAATTTTTTATATTCTTATTATAAATGATTTATTTTTACTGTTTTTAAAAATATTATATTTAAATATATTTGCATATTATTTTAAAGAAATATGTTACTTTATCCTTTTTATTTTTATTTAATCATTTTATTTTTTCCCTTTTATTTTTCAATTTACACTATTTCAAAATAATTTTTTTTTTTTTTTTTTGTGTTTGAAAATTATATAATTTTTTGTAATTTTTGTTAACTATATTTTAATTGAATTAAGGAAATTAGAATTAAGGAAATTAATGTATATAACATATATAATATTTTAATATATGCAATAAAAAAAAAGAAAATCATTTGAAAATAAAAATTTTTCTTTTTAAAATATTTAAGAAAAGATAAATAAAAAAAAAATATTCTAAATTATGAAGGATATGATAAAATAAATTATTAGACAGATATATAATTATGTAAAATATAATAAATGCAATGATATAAAAAAATAAAACGAAAATAAATAAAATAAAAATAAATAAAATAAAAAGAATATAAATAAAATAAAATAAAATAATAAGAATATAAATAAAATAAAATAGTTAAATTTTTTCATTAGTAGAACAAGTTGAATATAATTTCCATTTTTAATAATAGTATGTAAAAAGTATAAGAATATTTGAACAAAAATTTACAAAAAAAGCATTTTAAAAATGATAATAAAATTTCAAAAAAAAAAAAAATAAAATAAAATAAAAAATAATATTTTTAATATATTTTTTTTTTTATCGGTTAGCATTATTTAAGTATTCAAAAATAAAAAAAAGAATTCCGTTTTGTAGGCAATTTCTCAATAAATGCATATTAATACCAGTATAATAAGATTTTATCCCTTCGTATTTAAAAATACTAATTAATACTTTAAGAAAACCGTAATTTTTCATTTGAACTTGTTGTCTCATTTTTATAGTGTACAGAGGATAAGTAAAAATAATAGCAACATATTTTGAAAAGACACCAAACAAAAAAGGTAGGAATTTATTTATGACATTTGATGAAGTATTTATATTATTATCTCTAAGTAGGTTCTTTATATAATCTGAGTTAAAATAATGTGTTAAATATTCATATATATAAAACTGAATAGCAACATGTGGTGTTAACAATATTGATGCTAAAAACCCTTTATAAAATGAAGATAATTTTTCTTTTTTATATATTTCATAAACAAATTGAAAATAATTTTTATATCTATAAACGGCCGTTACAGCATTTTTATTTTCTTCCCTTTTAAAAATATGCAATATTTTATTATTAGAAATGGGATTTTTTGAATATAAAATATATCTTTTATAAAACTTTTTACGAAAATGAGACATTATATTTCTTGTTACTTCTTTCCTTTCTAAAATTGACAGGGTATAATATTTATATAATAAATAATTATGTATCATTTTCCTTTTTACATCTCCATTTAAGAAAGGGTTTTTTACATTTTTATAAGAAAGATAATTGTATTTTTTTCTAGTTGTATTTTTTTTATATATAAAGTTATTTTTATAAGATTCTAACATTTTGTTATTTAATGAAAATTTTTTATAATTTATATTTTTTTTTCTATATTTTCTATCATACATAAAAAGTTTTAAAATGTTTGATAATTTATAAGAAATTATTTTTTTTCTTGGTATAAATGCGCTGTAATGTTTACTTAGTAATCTACTTTTATAATTTAAAAATTTGTAATTTAAATTTATTGTGCTTTCTATTTTAGTTTTAACTAGCCATACTGGATGAAGAAAAAACACACTAATAATTGAACTAATACTACTAGTAATAATATAATAATTTACATTTTTTTTATCTTTTGCCTCATTAAACTTATTTAATGTATCATTATTTTCATTTGTTTGCATTTTTCCTTCTAAATTAGTATTCATAAAGTTCTCATTTTTCCTTATATCATTAATTTTCATAAAATTATAATTTTTAGATATATCACTTTTTTTTTTATACTTTTCTATATCTACTTCTGATGAATCAGGTGAAAATGTAGTATGAGAACATTTAGACTTATTTGATTCGCTATTACTTAAATTACGTAATATATAATTTTCACTTTTATTTTTGTAATTTATTTTGTTTATTTTCTCAAAAAAATAATAATTTAAAGTATCATATATGAATCTAAATATTCCATGAGATATTGCTGTGGTAATTAAACTAGCTACTAAACCACGATATACACTTTCTAATTTTTCATTTTTTAATATATAAAATAAATTATATTTATTATTATAATAATAAGGATAAGAATTTTTATAAACTTTATATATTTGTTTTCTGGTTCTTATAGTATCTAATGGATGCAGCACACATAAAATTATAGTTGATGAAATCATAAAATTTAATGTTCTATTTTTTACTAAATTACTTTCATCATTTTTCGTGTTATTATTATTTAAAAAGTTACATTTTTCTTCGTCCCTTTTTATATCCTTTTTAAAATAACTAAAAACCTTTTTTAAAAAATTTTCATCTTCATTTTTTATGTCCATATTATTTTATTTAACATTTTCTTGTTTCTCTTCTTGAGAATATTTTTAACAAATCATAAGTAAAATACCTAAATATAAGAATAATTTTTATTTATTAATTTTTTTTTTTAGGTTAATATAATCTTATTTTATTGAGCTGTGTAACAAAAAAAATTTGCTGTTAAAGATCAAATTTCTTTTAGATGTATTTCTTTAATTACGTTATATTTTCAAGGAGAAAACGAAATAGTAAACTAATATAATAAAATATATATAAATAAAAAAAAAAAAAAATATATATAATGGTAAATGAAATAATTTTTAAAAAAAAAAATTAGAAAAAAAATTATAGATTTAAATTATTTAGTTTATAAATAAATTAGGTATTTATAATAAAAGAAAAAAATATTTAAAATAATGAACATATGTATAATTTTAACTATAATGCAAGTTCCCAAGAACGTTATCATTATTTCATATCTAATTGCTTTATATTAATTATTTAATTGATTAGAAAAAAAAAAAATAAATAAATTAATAAAATCTGAGATAATAAATAGGTTTTTTTTTTTTTTATTTCAGATTTAATGCACATACATAGGCATATATATATATATATACGTTTCAGTGAGATTAAATATGTTATTTCTTATATAAATATAAAATATTAAAATAATGCATACTTACATAAATGATATATATATTTTGTATTCATAAATTATATTTAAATTTCTTTCTTTTTTTTTTTTTTAAAGAAATATATTTTATATTTCATTTAATATAATTATTTTCATGGAAACTTTTTTTTTTTTTTTTTTTTTATATTTCATATTTCATTTAAATTAAAAATATAATTTTGTTTTAATATATATGTATATATATATAATTAGTATGATATTAAATAATTGTATTTCATTTTTTTTAATTGAAAAATGTCTATAAAAATTTTGTTCATTGCTTTAATTTGCATTAAAATAATTTTATTTAAAATTACTTATGAAGAACATATACCATATTCTAATAATGCATCTTTAATAGGTCACATAAATTTTATTATTCCTATATCAAATTTAATAAATAATTATATTCTTCTTTCAAGTTTTAATGGAAATGTAGCATTACTAAATTATAAAACAGGTTTAAATAAATGATTTTACATGATATATATATATATATATATATATATATATAAACTTTTTTAAATTATTATAATTATTTTCTTAACCATTATAACATTATTGTTATTGAAATCTATTAAAATGATTATGTATTCTTTTTTTTTCTTTTATAAAAAAAGTTCCATTTTTTTTTTTTTTTTTTTCTTCAAGGTAAACCACAATATGTAAAAACTCATAAAGAAGATGAAAAAATAAAAAAACTATATGGTAATGAAAAATATGCAATTGCATTAATTTATAAAAATAACTTAGAAAAAGATATAAACGGTATTTTCATAAATGATGAAAATATTTATTCTTATATTAATGTGTATAATATTGTAAATTCATATTTATTGAGCGTTTTTGAATATAAGAATGAAATAATAGAAGATTTTTTAATAAAAGATGAACAAATAGTTATTCTTTTTAATAATAGAATAGATATTGGTAATATAATTGATAATTCAATATATTCAATATATTTTAAAGAATTAAATTTGAATTCAATTTATTTAAAAGTAATTTTATTGGAAGATAATATTGTAACCTTATTCTATGTAGATAAGGATTTATATTGTTATATAATAAGTATTGATAAATTAAATAAGAATATTATCAATTTAAATAAGATTGAAGAACTAAGATTAAATAACAAAATTAATTATTACGTGAGTGTATATAATAAAAATGTAGTGATCATATATAATAAAAAATATTTATACTGGATAGAATTAACAAATGAAGAAAAAAAATATTATTATAATTATATGATTATAAATAATAATGATGAAGAGAATATATTTAAGAATGAAATAATAGAAAATAATAAATTTATAAAAGGAGATGAAATGGAACAATGGTATACTAGTAATTATATTGTTATTGATGTAGGGGAATATAAATTAATATATAATTATTTTGATAAAAAGATGAATTTTATAAAAAAGGTAACAAATGGTGAAATTGTAGGATACTATGTTAATAAATATAATAAAAAAGAAATGATATTCGCAAAAGATGAAAACAATAAAATAATTATTAAAAGTACAAATGAAATGGAAAATGAAAAAGCATTAAATATATTAAATAAAAGTAATAATATTTATTATAATGGAGAAATTATAGTAGGTATATATAACTCAGAAGAAGAGAAAAATTATTATTTTAGTGTATATAATGATTCATCATTCACTGTGTATAAAGAAAATAATGTTTTTTATTCAAGAGAAGAATCATTAGCATATATTGATCAATTATATTTTTACAATTTTCAACACTTAAGAAAAAATAGCATAAAACATTCGTATAATATTCAATTACAAATATTGAATGATTTAAAAAAATATATAAAAAATAAAATAACTTCATTTAATAAGCCCTTTATAGAAGAAATAGTTAAAAAAAAAGAAGATTCTTCTCTATTTCCTTTCAACTTTTTTTATTTATCAATTGAAGAAAAAATGAATTTATTAAATATTTGTAATAAAAAAAAATTAAAAAGTGATGTCTTAATTAATTCTAAAAAGGAAACAAACATTTATGATAAAAAAAATACTGACTATAAATTTACCATGATGAATAGTATGCTTGAGGATTCTTTTACAAGATTTTCTCTTCATCATAGTAGTAAATATGCTGGAAGTTCTGTTATTCTTGTATCCACTTGTAATAATATAATTTTTGCTTTTCATTTATTTACTGGTTTGATTTTATATAAAATTGATGGAAATAAATTTCAAGGAAGAGGAATGTTTTCATTAAAAAAACATTTATGTTCCTTTAGTATGAGTAAGAATAATTGGTCAGAAATTGAAAATGGTAAAAAATTAATATTTATAAATAATAATAATAATAATAATGACAGTAATATTATTTTAAATTCAAAGAATGAATTACATGTATTTAAAAAATTTTCAAAAGAGTCAGTGATAACTATTTTTAAAAGTGATAAGAGTTCATATATTTTAATATTTGATATATTATATGGGGATATTATATTTGAAAAAAAAATAGATTCTTTTTTAATTCAGAATTATTTTGTTCTTAAAAAAAGTTCTTCCATTATAGCTATTGATAATTTATTAAATATTAAAATTGTAAATGTTTTCAATAATGAGATAGATGAAGATATAAATGAAAAACACCTTTTTTTTTATAATATAAATATATCACAAAATTATATAGAAGGGTATAGATTAATTAATTCAAGCCAAAAAAAAAATGATCAAAATAAATTAAGTTTAATAAAAACCTATTCAATAAATATAAATGATGAGAAACTTGAACTTTTCGCAAAATCAATAACAAAAAAAAATATTTTTTTCCCCATTAAAATAAATAAAGATGCTTCTATTTCTTATAAATATATTAATGATAATATAATATCATATATTACAAGAATTAAAAGTAAAGAAAATATTATTTACACCTTATATGTAGTTGATGGTATTAGTGGTAGTCTTATATACTCAAAAATATTAGATAAATATAGCAAGCCCCCTTTTCATGTGGTTATAAATGAAAATTATGTTATTTTAAATTATTTTAATGAGAATTTAAATAAATATATATTTCATATTATTGAAATATTATTAGATAAAAGTGATCCAGGATTTCTAAGTATAATAACGTCTAAAAAAGAAAAATTTGTTGATTTATTTGATGAACAAAAAATTGTAATTAATGAAAAAAATTATATAATAGATCATAATGTAAAATCATTTAATTTTACTGAAACAAAAAGAGGAATTACCAATAAACATTTATTACTTTTACTAGATACTAACAAAATTTCTTCACTTAATATAACAGATGATCAAATTAAAAATCATTATAAGTATTTTAACCAATTTATTACTCATACGGATATTTTATATAATGCAAAAGGATTTATAGCTAATGAAAGTTTATTAGAATCAACTACATTATTATTTTCTTGGGGAAACTATCTTTATTTTACATATTATCAACCAAATGGGTCATTTGATACCATTGAAAACTTTAATTTTCTCTTATTATTATTTTTAATTATTTTAGTTTTCATAGGTACATACCTTTCATATGTTAAAAGAGTAAACAAAAAGTTATATATAGAGTGGAGCTAATATAATATATTTGAAATGAATAAAAAAAAAAAAAGATGTTTAACATTAGTATTTATATACATATAAATATTATTAAAAATAATTTCTTTGAATTCTAAAAAAAATAAACTAATTTTTTTTTAATTTTTTTCTAAATAAATAATTTTTTTTTTTTTTTTTTATATATATACTCATTTTTTGTTGATTTTATGTTTTATTTAAAAAAAAAATAAATACCAATTAAAAAACTATTTTTAATTAAAATTATAAACCTTATATTTAATCTTTTAAAAAAGATATTTATTCTGATTTAAAGTATTATATATGAATTTATATAAATTTTATTAAAAAAAAAGGAACTTAACAAAAAATTAAAAAAAAAAAGTTAATTAGTTTTGTAATTATTTAATACTTATTTTTAAAAAACATAAAAATTATATATATATACATGTGAACTATAAATTCATTTTTTTTTTTTATTTATTAATATAAAAAACACTAAGAAAATTACAAAATTATACGCTAAGAAAAGGTGATAATATTTAATATGCCCATATATATATAAATTTCCTTTTTTTTAATATTTTCATAAATTTAACTTAGATTATTATTTTAAATTAAAATACTTATTATAAAAAAAGATGAAAAATTTTTCTTTAATTCAATTACATGAAGAAATATAAAATATATTCTTTCTCTCAAAACATTTTACTAAATATACATTTCTAATGGATTAATAATTATATGATAAAAAAAGAAACTAATTATATACAAAATTATTAACAAGTGGTTATTATGTTTATTTTTTTAGAATTAAGCTATAAATATATTAAGAATAAAAAAGGAATTTTTATAAATAAATCATTATTCTATTTTTTAATTTTTAAAAAAAATAATATACATATTTTTAAGGAATATAAATTTTTAAAATTAAAAATAACTCTTTTTTTTATTTCACTTTTATATAGTAAAATAAAAAATAAAATGTAAATTTCTCATTATATATATTAAAGAAGAGAATTATATAAATAATATTTTTTTTTTAATTTTCTTAAAGCTAATTTAAGAAGNATTGAATTATCTAAAAATAATTCAAAATATTGTGTAAAATATTTTTATAATGTTTTTTATAAATAATAAAGGTAAAAAAAAAAAAAAAAAAAAAAAAAAAAA